GTGTGAAACCAGACAAACGCTGCGGGGGGCGCCGGGAACAAACGTGCTCAGGCTCGGACCGCAGCAATTTAAACCATCCCAGTGTAAAAGCCCCCTTACACTGGTAGTTTAGTTCAGAACGTGGGACGGTTTACATAAAAAAATCGCTAAAGTGAATGCTGTCATGCGGACCCGGGCGCGCACTGTGGTACCGAACCCAAGTCTGAAATACATTCAAAACAAACATTGTTGCATTAATTTACTGTTAACACTGTAAAGTTGTTTTGAAACAAACTGTTATGAAAAGCGCTATATAAATAAAGGTGACTTGACGACCATTAGGAAACTATGCATATTCTGATGCAGTCTCTATGCCTATTAACCTTTTTGCTTCTTTTGGCTGGCTGTCTGTAGAGGATGGGTTTAGGAAAGAGAGTAGCCTGTGTGGTTTAAGGTAGTAAAATGGCAGCAAAATGGTTCAAATAACTCGCATTACCAATTTGTGGAAATTTTTTCCACAAATGGTATACCAGAAACAAAAATTTGCAGGCAATTTTGTCCGAAATATTGTAAACCATATCCTTTTGGTTTTGTTCACCTCTGAAAAAAGCCGAGCGGGGATTTCCTCAAAGTTTGAATTAAATGGCCACTTGCGGTGAGGGTCATCTGTTGCCTTGATTGCTCTCGCCATCTGTACTCGTTCCTTTTATCCCCGAGTTTCGATTGATTGGAAGAAAATCCCTGGAAATCCAGCTCCTATCTGGAATGGGAGAGAGATGCTTTTCCTCCTCACCCGGTGAAATGTCAACACAAGCAGATGGCAGGAGAAGATGAGACAAAATCTTCCTCTTAGCCTTGTTATAGGCGTCCTGCAAACGAGAACATCCTGTCTGCTCTGAAAGGGTGTGTGAGGAACCTGTCAGGTTCAGATCACATAATGGTCACTATAATCTAAGCAATTTCATTTGAAACCATCAGTATTGATATACTGATTGGAAGAATGGCAGGTAAAAGGCTGTGCCTAAATGTTTAATCAATAGAGTCTTGTAAATTGCCATATAGGCTACTGTAAATGAAAAGCCTCAGAGATCTCCTAACCTCTACATCCATTATTGGCTCTTTCCGCACAACGGACATGCTTGATTCAATGATTGACGTGAATCAAAGGATTTGGCTTAATTGGCATCAAATATTGTTTAACTCAATTCATTTAACATGTAGTGCTTTTCACAATACATAGTGTTTGGGTGTTAGCTCTTTATATTTGCATTTTTTCTAATTTAGCTTACAGTTGTGTAGCATGCAGCATTGTTTTGAACATGTGACTTGGATAGTGTGTGCTCCTGTTGTTCTGTGTGGTCTGATTTACGAGTCTTTGCTTGTCTTTATGGCCCAGTGAGCGATAAGAGTGTAATCAGCTTACACAAGCACTGATCCCAGTCCTGCACTGTCTAACAGTAAACACACACACCCCTCATTCAAATCGCCACATTATGCAATATTACACGCTCACATAAGCACCGGTTACATGCCCTGTGTGCTGGGGAACAGCTCCGGATGTTTGCTGTTTTGGTCAGGCGGAAGGAAGCCCTCTATTTCTGTCTGTTTGTGAGATTGTAATATAGAACTCACTGTTCAGTTTGCAAAATAACCAGCGGTTAGAGTAAAACTTCTGTAGGACTGACTGGGAGATATAATGAACATTTCATGTGTGATTAGTATCCACAAACAATGAAGGTTTTTATTTGCAGTGGTCAACATTTGACCTGGATCAAAAACTTTCATCAAGTTATACTTGAGCATTACCCGTCCTTGTCTTAGGTCAACTTTGATGAACTTTTTTTATCCTCTACAAATGTTGACTACTGTATTTTGGTAACAATTTACAAAAATGTTTCATTAGTTAACATGAACATAGAATTTTTACGGGTATACAGAATAAATATAGAGCATTTATTCGTATTTAATGTTCATTTGAATATTTTCTAATACATTGTTAAAATCAAAAGTTGTATTTTTTAACATTAGTTAATGCACTGTGAACATACAATGAACAACTATTTTTATTAACTAACATTAACAAAGAAATGATGTATTATTGATTGTTCATGTTAGTTAATGCATTAACTAATGTTAACAAATGAGACCTTAATGTAGTGTTACCTTTATATAGGCTGCAATTCATGTTTTTTTATTTCCACAAACTTCACAAACAATATTTAAAATAAAAATGCGGTTCTTTTGAACTTTCTGTTCATCAAATAATGCTGAAAAAAATAAGTCCCTAAGCAATGGTATTCAAACTTGTTGCCAAGAACAAAGTATTTATTGTGCAAACTAAAAGTAAATTCTATTTAATTATATCCGCTGTAGCATTGTAGAAATTTAGTTTGTTTTAGTATGTTAAATGGCGCACACAGACTTTTATTTTCCACTTTAATTAACAATAAACAAGCCAGAATGGGAACATGAATACACTGTGACCCCTTTTACAAAATTTCCCATTGATCCCGGGAAATTGCCTGAACGCCTTCTGTGTGAACACAAACATGAATCGGGATTGATGCTGGGATCGATGCTGGGTCGGGGACCTAGTAACATTGTCCGTGTGCAATCCTGGAACACGCACTATGTGAACAGCCGTGATCAATGATGACGCTAAAGTGAAGTGAAAGCAGGCTAGTGAAACGGTACGTAATGCGCTAGTTTATGATCGAATCAGAGAAACTAATGCACAAGTGGCATAAGCAAACTTAAGACGCTGCCAAGATGTTACAAGTCACATCAATGTCATGTGTCTTTATGGGATTATTCTGGAAAATCACAGGCAGTGTAAATGAATAAAAAACAAACACGGGTCATTTTCAGTGTATTTTCCTGAATCTCTGTGTGAAAGGGACTTGTGACAGTTCAATATCCCAACCCCCACTCCCACCCTGCTTAACTATACTTCCATTCTTATTTAGAGCAAAAATGCAATGATTGGAATATTCATAATTTTATATAGCTAGCAAAATTATTACAAACATTCTATCACACACTATATCCTTAAAAACAGGTTTTACCTTCTCCGAAGCCCTGTTTACACCTGGTAATACGATTTTGGATGGGATCATAAGTGAACAAAGTTTTGAGCTTGTCCATTTTCGACCACTTCCAGAGGTAGTCGATAATGTTTTTGACTGGATTGCTTTCATTTGGTCGAACATCCACAAACGACATCCTACTCTCCACCTATTGACCTAACACTTAAAGGAGTAACAAATGAGCACAAATGCTCGCCTTGCCCTGTTCTGTGAACTAATCTTTTTACGAGTAATTTTGTTCATTTAGTTCGTTGAATGAATGAAATGACTCGAAAAAAAGAGTTCATTTTGATGAATGAGTTCGAACAGTAGAGTCACGAACACGAACAGAGCAAAGCGAGCATTTGTACCTATAAAACTTAAAGTTTTTTATTTATTTTTGAAATGGCCGATCGTTTCGCTAGATAAGACCCTTATTCATTGTCTGATGTCGTTTAAAACCCTTTTAAGCTTATATGGAGAAAATCCTGGAATGTTTTCATCAAAAAGCTTAATTTCTTTTCGACTGAAGAAAGAAAGACATGAACATTTTGGATGACATGGGGGTGAGTAAATTATCAGCAAGTTTTTTTTTTTAAAGTGAACTACTCCTTTAAACATTACGGGATTTAAACTTTGTTGGCTGAAGACATAATTTTGGTTTGAACAAAAACAAAAAAACATACCAAACATTTACCAATGTTCTCTCACCATTCCCGATTTCTAATACGCACTCACCGTTTCGCACTCACCGTTTTCAGGGAGGTCTGGCAGCTATCAGAGCAAAAACGAAAGCTTATGATTTCCTGTCATCTCCGGGCACGTTCATATGTACATTATGCATGCTTATTTTGTCCAATAGATCTGAAAAAACAAAAAAACAAACATTATTTACCCACCTACAGACCAACCCTCTCGAAGAAATCAAGACAGAAGTGGTTGAAAGTGAACAAAAGAGACCGATTAAAACACCAGGTGTAAACTGGAATGTGCCCCTCATGTACTTGTGATCCGATCGACCAAAACGCATCTTGATACCAGGTGTAAACCAGGCTGGGGTTTAACAGAGAGCCAGGGTAAAGAGAGCCAGAGAGCCCCACCCCCCATTTTAAGAAATTATCATTTTTTTTTTTTGGCCAGTTGACTGACACTGCTTTATTGCTGTACAGGAACTTTATAAAACATTTCAAAACAAAATATTTACCAAGACATCTTTTTTTTTTTCTTTGCCCACAGACATGTATTGAAGTAACAGGCATGTTTGTATATATTTTACAGAAGGATCAGAATGGAGGAAAAAAAAAAAAAAACAACAACAAAAAAACCCCACATTGATAACACAGTCTCATCCCAAGACGTCATATAACTGACGTCTTGGGGCGTATTTTGACCATACGTCAATATCCGCCTTTTTAGGGCCCCCTTAAACGTCGGTAGATGGCGATCCCGGGCCGTCATACAACTGACGCTTTACCTTTAACGTCAGTTAGGTGATGGGTTAGGTTTAGGGTTAGGTTTAGGTATGGGGTAGAGTTAGGATCCCATAACCTCATCTACCGACGTTTAAGGGGGCCCTAAAAAGGCGAATATTGACGTATGGTCAAAAGACGTCCCAAAACGTCAGTTATATGACGTCTTGGGATGAGACCGGGTTGACATTGACTACAAAAGACAGTAACAGCCATGGTAATTTAATATTTTGTTGAGCTCTGCATATTTGAGCAAGCACAGGAATCTGAATATCTTGAGATGATGTCAGTATTGTATTTGAGATGAGCTCATTCGAGGTCCTAGACCAAAAGAGAGTTGACATTTACATTTTTTTCATTTTTTAGCTGACGCTTTTATGCAAAGCGACTTACAATTGCTATATATGTCAGAGGCCGCACACCTCTGGAGCAACTATGAGTGTTTTGCTCAGGGACACATTGGTGTCTCGCAGTGGATTCGAACCCGGGTCTCTCACACCAAAGGCATGTGTCTTATCCACTGCGCCATCACCACCCATACCATCCAGTCTGAGTCAAGACCAGAAAACAGTCAAGATCGAGACAAGATTAGCAAGAAAACATGGTCTTAAACTCAACCCTATTCTGGTCATGGTCATGACTTGGACTTGAATGAGCTGGTCTCGACTACAACACTGGGAGATATTCACCACATATTGAGCTTAACTAAACCATTACTGGCCATTATTTTGCTATCAAATCAAAAAGTCCATTATAACGAGGCCGTGTTGGGCTGGACGGTGAGAAGTTCATAACAGCATGTCTGGATGGTTTCACAGCACCAGTTAAGACAAAGGGCATGATCCAATGAAGTCTATATCTCTACACTGTATCAGACTAAGTACAGAAAAACAGACAGATGGGGTGTGTAAGTAAGAGAGATCTCATGCTTTAACATACGTTCCCTTTTTAACAACAAAGTAGAAAAATGGGCTCATACTGTACAGTTATTTTCATTCTTTTTGCTTTTGTAGTATTGATGGCATGTCAATACTAGATTTCATAAAATAGCATTTTTTTTCAATAAATTAATGTTTCAAATAATAGTGTCGTAACCCTGTTAAGCAGTAGCGATGCAAAGCAGCCATTCCAAAACTGTGGAGCAAAGCCATGAAGTGATTTCCGGTCTCCATCAGCACCGGCCTGCACAGTGATTTTAATATGCGTCTCTGATCTGCAGTACTGCACAGCAGTGAAAGATGCTTAAACCACCGTCCAATGGAATGGGGAAGGGAGTATTCACATTAGTTGGGTAAATAAGAGTTAGAAGATAAGCGAAACATAAGCTCTCAGAACGGTTTGTAACGAGCCAGAAAGTATGACTGGGTCTTAAAAATCACCTCTACATTATTATTTTGAGTGAGTTTTAGATCATGTTTTACATTGAAAATAATGTAGCCTACTGGTTCAATACAATCATTAAACAACACTGGTTATGTAGACCATACATATTAAGTCACTGTTTTCTCAGGTTTAGTGTATGTTAAATATTAAGATTGACATTTAAATATTGAAAGAACTTAACATAAATCATTGTGTCAGGAGTTGAAATAAGGTGTAACATTTGGGGAACCTTTTTTTTCAGCAAGTCAGGACGTAAACAGACATGAAGGGACGCTCTTAATGAACCTTAAACGAAACAGCGGCAAATTGCAACTCAAACATACTTGCACAAACACAAAAGTTCTGTACAATAAATTAAATATCTTTATACATTTCAAAGACTAACCGCAGTCCTATGTGGATGGAGAACGGCTAAAGAGTTTACCATGAATAAACAATCATTCTGTACTAAAATGATATTCACACTATAAAACCCATCACCTTAGTCCTTCTGTCATTGCACCCTTAAACATTTGGGAATAACTTTCCATTATAAAGACAATCATTTGCCAATATACTCATAAAACATTTGCAATCTGTACATAACCCATCTATTCAGTCATAGTGACGACAAACAGAACCAGAAGGTCAAGCTCTACTCATTCTCGGAAAAGCGTATACCTGTGTACGTCAGGTACATGGCTGTGCTTATGGTGGGGCTCCTGGTGTGAACCCAGTGTTAAAAGTCCAAAAATATTTACCCATGTTCTTTCAGGTAATAAATCTGTACGTGCACACTATATGGATAAATGAAATGCCTTGAGACCTGTTTACCTTCACACACTAAGAACTACAAGAGAATATTCCGAAGCTTTGAGGGGACCAAAGATCATGCGCTGTTTGTACAGATACATACAACCCAGCATTCGTACATAAGCACCTTTGAGGAAAAGTCCAAAATCTTGTTGTGGGAGTTGTCTGAGTCAAATCGGCAGTAATATTCATCCACCAGTAATGATTGTTTCATCTAAAGGTGTATTTGTGCTCTTTAACCATTCGATATAAATCGAGCCTCCAAGGTTCATCAACTATATGTCTTGTGAAATCTCTTTTGCGCACATTAGCATACAGTGAACGATGAATGTAGTCCAGAAGCTGGACATGTTGTGGAATTGTTACTGATCATTTCCCTGAACCAGGACCTCACAAGGTCTCAACCTGTGTGTGATGGTTGCCAACGCTGATGGAGGGTAATCAAAGCACCTGAAAAAGCATGAGGTGTAGTTGCTTTTCTGAACCTGAAGGAGGACTTTGTTCACAAAGCTAGGCCTATGAGGTCAACACAAAGTTTTTGTCTTGTAAACTTTAAGGTCTGTCGCGTCCATGTGCATCGAGTGCTTGAGTTGGAACAGAACTGGCACTTTTTACCCAACCCAGGCAACAACAACCACATATGGAGCGACCAGCACCAGGGTTTAAAACTAAAATATGGCTCACAATGTAGACTATAGCACGCAGTAGCACAGTTGAGATTTGTTTGCACAGCCTATTATGGCGTCGATGAGTTCCAATCAAAGCGATGATCTTTCAGACAGAGAGAAGTTCAGGACACTGCAAATGGGATTCATAATAGCCATGTCCCCTTTGTTTCTTCAGGATAGAGATTGGTAGTCTTTGGGGGCTGCATGTTATTTGGTCCCAATTGGTCATTAGTTTGAGAGACGTGTGGAGAAAATTGTCCAAGGAACCTTTGATTCTTTCAAAAGAAGTGAAGAGAGGAACAAGAACAAATTGGGATGCCCTCTTCTCTGAAGTTCAGAGTCTGGCTCTGTTTAGAGGATGTCACCCCTATGGCCATCAGGCCTACGGACTGGGGTTTAACTGAGGTTTAACCCAAGAAGACCACAGGGTGATCTCTAGGGTGATGTTTTCTTTCTGGGACTCTTGGTCTTCACCGTTAGGGTGGGTGAAGTGTTTGTGTGAAGCCAAGCGTTCTGCCAGTCCGGTCGACCGTCACAAACACTCCTCCGCCAGCGCATTAATTCCTGCAGAGTGGCCCGCTGATCTCCACATGCACGTGACCTCTGGAGCACCTATGAAAATGACAGAAAGGTCATGTTTAGAATGGTCCATAATTGGGTGGATCTACAGCAGGGGTAGCCAACCCTGCTCCTGAAAGGCTACTTTCCTGCACACTTCAGTTCAACCCCTGCTCCAAAACACCTATTTTCAAGTGATCTCGAACACCTTGATTAGTTGGCACAGGTGCGTTTGTTTAAGGTTGGAGCTAAACTCTGCAGGATTGGTAGCCCTTCAAAATACGTTTTGGCTACCCCTGATCTACAGGTATATATACTACTTACCACCAATGATACAGAACAGAAATGATTCAAAATATAACCCAAATAGGTAAAGCACAAAGCAGCTAAAGCAGGAAATGAAATGTCCAGCATTTGGTGGAGCAGTGATTTGAGCGAAGATATGCCATACAATACATACAGGTGTCCATGGTAAAGAATAGGACAAATCATAGAAGAGGTGTTTTTCAAGTCATTGTATTGATGAATTGTATTGAAGATAATAAGTGCAAGTACCTGGATAAGAAGGGCCTGTTGATGTTAAAAGAGTAAAAAGAAAAGAAAACATGCCTCTCCTAACAGCTGGTGCCTGATGCAACTGGCAACCCTAACATACGCACATACACAAAACCCACCCATGGGCGCCTCCCATCCATCATACAAGCGTAATCAATAAACCGATAAATCAATCCATTCCAATCATCTGCACACTGGTAAATGCCACAAATGGAACAGGACCTCTTGCTGTGCCTCTGATCCATTCATGACGGATGCAGGGATGAGGGAAAGTCACATGGCTTTAGTTTGGTCAAAGAGAAAGCCCCCTGTCCATTTGTTCTCTTTCTCTCTCTCTCTCTAATAGGACGTCAGAGGAGTGAGTAAAAGCAGAACTAGTGCTTAACGAGACTGTCATTTGTTGTTATTGGTAAAGTTGAACTTACAGAATCCTTACAAACGGTCTTTTGTACATACAGCAAGAACCAATGTGGGCCGCCGACCTAGATCGAACCTTAAACTTAACCAATTACTGCCCTTGAGCAAGGTTACTCTGGGTGAAGCATCTCTGTTTTAAATGTTGGATACACGTTTAATGTGCTGAAGAATATAACAGAAATAACCAAAACAGCAGATTTGAAATATAACAAATAAAAATGGAAAGAAATAAGAAAATAAAAACAGTCTGGGACATCAATTTCTTTGATAATCAATTGACAGAATAATTCAGTGATTCAGACTTTGCAATTCAAATGATATGGCGTGTCTGGAGGTTTCCAAACAAGAAATGGCCCCAATTAATAACTGGTGTCCAAATCCATATGCACCAAGATGAGAATCCAACAGAATGAAGAAAACGAAAAACACAAAGCCAGGAAAAATCCTTAAAACAAGATCAAGTAATTTCAGATACCTAAATATGATGAGGAATACAAGAAGAGTTGGGGATCAGGAATTTTGTACTAAATCTAGTCCAAATCTAACTAATATGTTTAATATGCTAATTTTATGACACTCCCCTAAACCCTTCATGTCATAACTAGGGTAGGGTGACCATATTTTGATTACCAAAAACCAGGACACTCAGCCCAGCAAACACATGGGCCAACTCAAATGATACTCGAAGTTTACTCAAAGATACCTTATTAATTTCAATACATTTAAAGTAGGTTATGCCTCTTTATGGATAGAAAACAGGACATGTCCTGGGAAAACAGGACAGTTGGTCACCCTAAACTAGGGGGAATGTATGTTTAATGCCGATAATCCTCCTGTTGTCTGCACGAGGAGAGCATTTAGGGAGATACGGGGGCCAAGCATACAGTGGATACTGTTGTTAGACTCAAATGACGTAACGGGATGCCCCTGGCCTATTTTACCACTCCAGTCTGCTCTGAGAGGGAACTCATCCAACAGTGTGAGAGTGTAGTGGCGATGTTACAGTACAGCAGAAGCGTATTCTAGGAATCCAGGCCATTTACAGACGTGGACACCCACGTACGCTGCTCGAAAGTCCTGATCCATAATTTACACCTATCTGTCTACTCTCAGTTCTGACATCACTTCGCTAGCACAAAGATGGCACAGAGTGTACCAAACAAATCATGCACACACACACAGTCAAGTCAATCACGCACACACTCATTAAGACTAAGCACAACGTCTGTGTCAATCACAGCATTCACACCTGTAATGCTATCTGGATGCTACACAAAGCCGCACAACAAAGCACCTGGATCACATGCAGCTATTCATATTCAATCCAAAAAAACTCATTATATTTAACCTTGCATTATTAATGCGCTTCATCAAAGGGCACACATGCACATTTAGAGATGTAGATACAGACAGGCGGGCTACATGGCCACTTATACTCTAAATTTAGCCTAGCCTCTGAAACCATCGGGGACATCCAGTTCTTTGACAATCAATTGACAGAATATTCAGTGATTCAGCCTTTGCAATTCAGATGAGATGGTGTCTCTGGAGGTTTCCAGAAAACAAATGGACCCCATTACACGCTAGTGTTCAAATCCATGGATAAACACCTCAAAATACGGCAGTAAAAGTCCTTGAAAAAAATAAAATGATTTCATTAAGCAAATATTGAACAATTTCAGAGAATACCTTGAATTGAGTAAATTTTCTTGCGCCACTGGATTTTTTCCTCCTCTTGTTTTAAGGTTAATGTTTGCCAGTATGATAAGATAGATAAACCCCAAAGATTCATACAGTATATATATGAAAATTACAAAAAAAAGATACATCAACTGCATACAATTTAAAAATCCTAAAACAACACACTAACAGCATGTGCCAAACGGAAAAGGCCGCAATTTTGATATTGTGTATGCAAATAAGGGCAGCTGGTCAGTAGGCTTAGAAGAAGGGGAGGACACATGGAAATACCTCGTCCCTGGGGAAAGGGGCGGCCCGTGGCTGACATTCAGCCTGGCTCACCCCTTCATGAGATGGAGGGCTGGAATTCAATACGGGTCATGCCTGAATGTCAGCGCAGTGAAAGGTCAGCGGGGACATGTGAGGCTCATCACGTACTTATCATCCATGGGGCTTCTGCAGCGAGGACTGCACTGCATAAGCCCTGACACCTACTAAAGCAATCTTGATACAAAGGGCAAAGGTCAGGGAATCATTATTAACACGCATATTATGGGATTCTCACTCTGCTCTGCTGGGGCATTCGGCGGAACACATAACTTGCTTTCTCCGCCTCTTACGTTGTCCTCATTGTCGTTTTATATGAGATACTATCTCTCGCCATTTCTTATCTATGCTGTGTACAGCAAAACTGGATACTATTCATATTGAGGTGGCAGTAATGACAACTGATAAAATGGCTTTTTATATGCTTTTCAACAGTTCTCAGTGTCTTTAGCATCTGCAGTGGTTTTCAACTGGTGGGTCACAAGCTAAAAATGTGTCATGTCTGTTCTGATAGGATCATGGAGCGAAACATTCAAATGGAACTTTTTTTCATAATCTTTATACTTTTATGTTCATTATCTTACACTATTCTTTTTTTTCTTGGTTTAAGCATAATTGAAAAATAAGTGTAGAAATTTCTAAATATATTCTCAGAAAACAAGTCTATATACTAGATTTTTGTTCTTGCTATCTTGGTTGGACCTATTGGAAAATATTTTTATTTAGAAAACAAATACTTAAATAAAATCACTAAATGAAGAGTTCAGATGCAAAAGCCTCTAAGTGACATTTGAAATTTTCTTCTAGAATGATCATTTTTAACCAACTCGTGTATTTAAGTTCAGTGATTTCACTTAAATGGCATTGAAGATTACCTATGAATTGTCATTTAAGTGAAATTACTGAACTTAAATATACAGGCTTGATAAAAATGATCATTCTAGAAGAAAATTTCAAATGGCACTTAGAGGCTTTTGCATCTGAACTCTTCAAATATTTTCTGAAAAAGCGTTATGTTACAATTTTTTTTTTTTTTTTTTGAAGATGTTTGGATATTTTTACTTACTACCTTTATTTTACAATTGAAAAAATATATTTCTCCCTGGTTGAAAGCATAAATTGGCCTACATGAATGCATAGGCCTACATGCATAAATTCAAGACATATCCTATCCAGCAAATGAACAATTTTGCCATTTGTTTGGCCTATGTAGAATGCAATATTACATTTCAAAGTTTAATTTATTTATGATAAAAAAAAAATTCAAGGCACTTAATCCCAAGTGTAAAATCTGGGTCTTGAAACAAAAGCAGTTAAGAACTGTGCATAAATATTTCTCAAACGTCAATGGGCCTGCCCCATCAGTACACCCTTCCAGTTTGAGGGGTATAAATGTCTCTATATTCATTGGGGAGTGAATTCAGATTGTGGATAGAGATATGCGTGTTAATCTCTCTGTCCAGGCCGTACAGATGTGCAGTTGGATTCTCCAATGGCTCTTTTATTATTCAGCCTTTAAGAAGATTAGTATACTCTCCTCCTCTCTTATCCTGTCCCACCCCTCTACAAGAACCCATGGGATCCCCTCACAGTGACCAGTCATGTGCAGATGTGTGGGGGTCTTACAATTTTCAATTCCAGGAGGATTTGAAATTCCACATTTTCTCATAGCATCTCAACAAAAAAGTGCAAAAACTGCCTTATGTTCAGTTTAGGCAGTAAAAATGTTACTGTAAATGATGCTATTTCAGGACTTGATTTATATCGTGGTACAGTGATGTGTCTGATGGTAATACCATTGTACTGTGATAAACCAAAGTACTTACAGAAAACTAATGTCGAAGTAGATGGTAATTCCATTTGACATGCTGTTTAACATGGTACCCAATGATTATACCATAGTACTTACACAGCACTCCGTGCTACTTGCAGTAATACCATGGCACCATAGTACATGGCAAAAAATATTTTGAGGTGCCATGTCCAAAAAATGTACTTTTTGGTACTATTTTGTAGCCACACACTAAATCAAAAGACTCCTTTCTGTGCTGATTTTGAAAATCTGACAAATATTT